ATTTCAATACCAATTAACTACCATTGTCTTTTGACTTATATTTGTCTTGCAATTTATAGTTGAAGGTTGGTAATGGTGAAGATTGCATGCCTCGTAATGGACGATGGAATTTTAACAAGAAGGTATTCCCTTGGTTTCGTTATAATAATGGAAGAGAATTGTTCCAACTTTACGTGGAGGGTTGCAGAAATTGATAATTCTTTTACATTCCCTATTTTGCTTAAATTTAGCAACTTTGTGAACTAATTTGGCACTTAATTGTTCCTGTTTTATTCTTTTAAAGCAACTCTTCACCCCCATCTGAATAGAACAGTGGGCAGTTGTCAACTTCTCTACTCGTTGCGATACAAGTTATTGTCAACTTCTCTGCTCGTTGCGATACAAGTCATCTTTCTTGAGAACTTATTAACTGTGGAAGGAACAAGGGCATTGTAATTACCCTGTATTTGTTTCTATGATGGGTATTATTGTTTCAAACAAGCTTTACTTGATATAATTAATTGTTTTCTTTACATTCAGAATATTGAATGTCCACGTACTCTAGTCAAGGAAGATCCACAATATAGAAGGTCTAGCCCCATAGTAAGAGTAGAAAAGATGTTTGAATTGATCACTGGTAAACTTCCGCCCCCTCCTCAGTTTCTTCTATGCGTCTTGCCAGAGAAGAAAAATTCTGATATTTATGGTAAGATTTCTGTATCTTTTATTTTTATATTTATTGTTTTAAGGCAATTTTACATATGATGTTCTTAATTTTCTTTATGTTGTCAAGGACCATCGAAGAAGAAAAGTCTGTGTGACAATATAGAAGGTCTAGCCCCATAGTAAGAGTAGAAAAGATGTTTGAATTGATCACTGGTAAACTTCCGCCCCCTCCTCAGTTTCTTCTATGCGTCTTGCCAGAGAAGAAAATTTTTGATATTTATGGTAAGATTTTTGTATCCTTTATTTTTATATTTATTGTTTTAAGGCAATTTTACATATAATGTTCTTAATTTTCTTTATGTTGTCAAGGGCCATCGAAGAAGAAAAGTCTGTGTGACTTTGGAATAGCGACTCAATGTATTTCACCTACTAAGATCAATGATCAATATCTAACAAACGTCCTTCTGAAGATTAATTCCAAGGTAGTCTGGTAATTAAAGCTCAGAAAAAATGTAAGGCTATACTTATTTAGTAATCTTTACAGTGGTGCTGGGAACGCCAGTGTGGTTGATGAAATCATCTCTATCTCATACTTCAATTGATTGCTCAAAAGTTAAAGTGAAGTCTCTATCTCACATGTGCACTTGTCTTGTATTTTTTTTTTAATTTTTTTTGGGAATTATTACAAGACTCCGCTTTGTTCTCCCTTCATTGAATGCCTTGCTTTGATTATCTAACTTTTTATATTTTCTTTTTTACTCTATGCACTTTGTCTGTACATTTTGCTCTTACAAGAATTTATGGAGATTATGTGTTGACTAACTCTGGCTTTAATTTTGCTGATTTTAGTTTGTTGCTGATTGGAAACGGATGTTTTTTTTGATGTTATTGCTTTTGGCATACAATATTTTTCTCTCTGGTGGTTTATTGCTTTTGGCATACAATATTTTTCTCTCTGGTGGTTTAATTTGTAAAAGTTCCTTTCATGTTGCATTATGGACTGCATTCCTCTTGGATTGACTTCAATATACACTACAAGAAATTTGAGTTTTAGCAGCGTTAAAACTTGAAAAATGCCGTAAAGCATATGCTACTCACCTTGTAAAAGCAAGCATAGCTGTTTAACTTATGCATTGCACATTTGACTTGCTATTCTTCAAAGATTTCAATATACTTAAAGAAATTTCAACTTTGCCAAACCAATAAATAAAATCTTCGGCATGGCAAGAAACATTAAAATGGGAATTTCTATTTCTACTTGATAATATGAACAACCATGCTTCATGAGATTGCCTATTGAACGCAACATAAAATTTATGTTGATAAAATCACGCCTGCATCACAATGCATATAGCCAGAGGCTATAGGCTAGCATTAGGTTGTCTATTTTCACACAATGCATAACTGGTTATAGTTTCCAGGTGCAGGACATTGATGTTTGCTTGTGTTTAATATCTACAGAATAGTTTCCAAGCTAGTTTCTTGCTGGGATGGGCAATCACCTTTCGTACTGGATTGGGTTCTTACCCAATTGATACTGTTTGTAGAAGGATGATGATGACTTTGGGAGAAGCAGTCAAGTACAAGAGCTCTATTGATGCTTTTAATCAGATCATCAAGAATGAAGGTCCTAAATCACTCTTTCAGGGTGTTGGTGTTGAAGAATGATTCAAAGTCTGACTTGGTCTTTTCAGGTTGTTAGTAGTGTCCATATTTTACTGAGTTTGTTTAGTCAATTGGGTAGTTGTTGCTGATATTATGCTAGTGGCTGTAGTGGTCTAAGTTAGTGCCTTAGTGGTACATAAAAATCTGTTTGGTTGTTTTGGTTGTAAGCCTATATATAGGCACATTTGCTTCAGTATTTAAAATGAGAATAAGAGGACCCAACAGTTCAGTTTTTATATATTTCTTCGCCTCTGTTTTCTGGTTTTTTGCCTCTGTTTTCAGTGTTATTTTTTTTTATCTCCAACAAATTTGGTATCAAAGCATTGTTGAGAGAGTGAGAAGAGAGGGTAAACACGTGAGTTGAGTGAAACACCTGAGAGGAAAAACCAATGGCCAGCAACGGCAATGCAATGAGTGCTGTACAACCACTCATCCCTGTCTTTAAGGGAGAAGGCTATAGATTCTGGAGTATCCGAATGATGACCCTATTCAAATCTCAAGATCTTTGGGATTTGGTAGAACAAGGCTACGCAGATCCTGATGAAGAAACAAGATTGAAGGAGAATAAGAAGAAAGATTCGAAGGCGTTGGTGATTATTCAGCAGGCTGTTCATGACAGCATCTTCTCACGAATTGCAGTGGCAACCACATCGAAGCAAGCTTGGTCAACTCTGCAGAAGGAGTTTCAAGGTGATTCAAAAGTTATCGTGGTGAAATTGCAATCACTACGGCGTGACTTTGAAACCTTGTACATGAAGAATGGAGAATCAATTGCTGATTTTTTATCTCGGGTCATGACAATAGTCAGTCAAATGCGATCGTACGGCGAGAAGATTTCTGATGAAACGGTTGTTTCAAAGGTACTAAGAAGCTTGACTCCAAAGTTTGATCACGTTATGGCTGCCATAGAAGAATCTAAGGATTTGTCAGTTTTTTCCTTTGATGAACTGATGGGGTCCTTGCAAGCACATGAGACAAGAATTAATCGATCACTTGAAAAGAATGAAGAAAAGGCATTTCAAGTGAAGGACATAGTCACCAAAGCTGCAGAAGGTGACAGTTCGACAAGCAGAGGTCGTGGAAGAGGAGGATTCCGTGGTCGTGGTCGTGGTCGTGGTCGTGGGTATGGTCATGGTAACGGGAGAGGCAAAGGTCGCTTCGATGGGCAACGACAGTCCGGTGAGCAAAGAAACTACAAGAATGGTGTTCAATGCTATCATTGTAAGAGGTATGGTCATATAAAAGCTGATTGTTGGTACAAAGACCAGCAAGTGAATTATGCAGCAGAAAATGAAGAAAGTAGTAAGTTTTTTATGACTCATTTTGATCCTAACAATACATCAAGCGATGTGTGGTTCATAGACAGCGGCTGTTCGAATCATATGACGGGGATGAAATCCTTGTTCAAAGAGCTTGATGAGACGCAGAAGTTGAAGGTGCAGCTGGGAAATGCCAAAGAAATGCAAGTTGAAGGGAAAGGTACAGTGAGCATTAAAACTACCCATGGTAACATAAAGCTCTTGCATAATGTTCAATTTGTACCTGATTTAGGATATAATTTGCTAAGTGTTGGGCAATTAATGGCTGCTGGATATTCCATCTCATTTGATAATGATGCATGTGTTATTAGAGACAAGCACTCAGGCCATACGTTGATTAATATCAACATGACTCAAAACAAAATGTTCCCATTGGAAGTTTCAAGCATGGAGAATTTTGTCTTTGCCGCTAGTGGAAAAGATGACTCGAAGCTATGGCATTTGCGATACGGGCATCTCAACATCAAGGGTCTGAAATTGCTAAAAGAAAAAGGTATTGTTTTTGGACTACCGAAAATTGGTTCCATTGAATTATATGAAGGATGCATCTATGGGAAACAAACTAGAAAGTCATTTCCAGTTGGAAAGGCCTGGAGAGCTTCAACGTGTCTCGAATTAATTCATGTTGATTTATGTGGGCGTATGCAAACTAAATCTTTTGGTGGAAGTCGTTATTTCTTGCTATTTACTGATGATCATAGTCGCATGAGTTGGGTTTATTTTTTGGAAAACAAATCCGAAGCCTTTGAGAAATTTAAACACTTCAAAGCTAAAGTTGAAAAGCAAAGTGGATTTTGCATCAAAGTTCTTCGCACTGATAGAGGTGGAGAATTTTTATCCAAAGATTTTGATCTTTTTTGTGAAGAAAATGGAATTCAAAGGGAGTTGACAACTCCTTACACTCCAGAACAAAATGGCGTCGCCGAGCGGAAGAATCGAACTGTTGTGGAGATGGCAAGAAGCATGTTACAAGCAAAGGGACTTTCGAACGGATTTTGGGCTGAAGCTGTGGCAACATCAGTTTATTTATTGAATCTTTCTCCCACAAGGGCAGTCATGAATCGAACTCCGGTTGAAGCTTGGCGTGGCACAAAACCATCTGTAAGTCACTTAAGAGTTTTTGGGTGTATTGCTTATGCTTTGGTAAATTCTCAATTTCGTCATAAACTTGATGAAAAATCTGAAAAATGTATTTTCATTGGTTACTGTACACAATCCAAAGCATATAGATTATATAACCCTCTTAGTGGCAAGTTTTTAATTAGAAGGGATGTAGTATTTGATGAAAATGCAAGTTGGGATTGGCGTGGAATTAATGAGAAAATGCAACAGCAGGTTCCTATGTCCATTGGAATCTCTCCAAATTTAAGCCGCTTTCATGGCATTCTTTACTTGGCATTTAGGGATTTTAATAGTCTTATTTCTTCCTAGAACTCATTTAGTTGGATCCTTTTGTGTTCCTTGAGTTGGTAATTCATTGCTTTTTTTAAACATATTGCTTATGTATTTGGCTTGTCTTAGAATCTTCCAGGTTACTGCTTCAAGTAAAAGATGGAGAAGGAGGCAGTTGGGTCCCCTCTTTTACCACCACCACCTCACCCTTGCAAGCACCTAAGTGCTGCCACCCATGCCACTAGGCCATAAGGAAGGCCATTGGCTTTCCCCTTTATTGTGTTTCTCAAAATTATCTTCCGCTAGAGGTACACAAAATTATTTTTTCTTTATTGTGTTTCTCAATCCCCACCTCCCTGGCCCTCCTTTTTTCTTTAACTCTCTTCCGCTACTTCCTTTCCTTCTGTACGAGATTTTGATGTTGTTTTTGTCTTGGTATTCCAGCTTTTTACCCCAATATCTCTTCAACGTTATACGAAGTATCTCATTAAACCAAACTAAAGTAGCTCATTACAGCCACATAACTTGGGTTAATTTTCCATTTAGCTGTGACCAAAGCATTTGCAATACTGCAGAATACAAAATTTCACCCAATTAGATATAACTCTGTAACAAAAAGATTGAGATATAGATAGTACTTATAAGACGGCAATATACAGGTTGAAGTTTGTGCTTAAACATCATGAGGAAGTAGTAAACTATAGATAGGTATCCAACAGACTATGTGGATTTTAAAATTAGCATTTTGAAATTAATTTGTAAATAATTTGACAAAGACACTAAAACTATTTGAAAACCAACTAAATGCAAAAATCTGCAAAGCTTTGAGAGAATTCAAAGAAATCAGTTTTTGTTGGTGGAATTTGTTAAAGCTTGTTAAACCTTCTGAAATTATGATTGGAATTTTTCTTAATGATGTTAAAATAATAGCTTTTTGTAGGGACTGCTTATTTCAAGGTTCTGTCTTCTATTGTGATATATATTTTGTATTGTAATGAACTAATTTCAGTTGCCATAATATTTTTTTATTTTTAAATTTTTTTGGCTCTGGGGTTCATATATTCATATATTTTTTCCCTGTCATTTTGTTCAGTAGAGTTACTTTAGATTGCTAGAATAGGTGAATGCTGCTATTGACCTGACTAATGGGTAATTTATGATTGATTTTTTTGGGTATGAATAAACATAGGAAATACTTAAGTGGTAAGCAAATGAAAAGACGCAAAGACTTTACTGAACTTGAGTAAGACTCTTTTCGTTTGTTTTCATTTTTTCTCGCGGGCATCGGGCACACACGTAAACTTGTAGGCTTATATTGATCATTGGCAACATAACTAGACGACCTACAATTACAGATATTCTTCACCTGTGCTCGAAAAAACTGTACATCTCATGTTAGTCTTCTACAATCGATGTTTTATTGCCTGGGATGCTTGATTGTATTTCCATGGAATTTCTTTTTGTATTTTGGCACCGGTGTTTATAGTAGCGAAAAGATTGGGAAGGGAAAAACCCTTTTCTCTGTTGTTCCTTTGTATTTAAACCTTTATTGTGTTTTGCAAATATGGTGGATGGTTCACAACATCCATCAATTTCCCAGAAGATACATGGGCAATCTTATTTCTTATCTTGAATTTCTCCTAACTTGCGCACCAAGAATACTGGTTTACACAATATGACTGATGCATATGTAAATGGAGTTCAGCAGAGTCCTCTGCCACCAACATTCCAAGGCACTGACCTGGAATTTGCATTACCACTATCCTCTGTTTTTGTACAAAGCTCCCGCAGAAAAAGGTTTTCGTAGTTTTATGATAGACTTCCTCATGGGAGGAGTTTCTGCTGCTGTATCCAAGACTGCTGCTGCTCCGATAGAGTGCACTAAGCTATCGATTCAAGCTGGTCGGCTATCTGAACCATACAAAGGAATTTCTGACTGCTTTGCCCGAACAATTAAGGATGAAGGCATTATTGCTTTGTGGAGAAGCAACACTATCAATGTTATCAGATATTTCCCAGCCCAGGTTAGCTTATCTTTTGTTTATATTTGTTAATCTTGCCATTTCTTTTGTTTTAAATAATTTTGTCTGAACAATGTTACTTTTGATATTTCCCCAAGTATTTAGGGATTACATATTAGTTCTATAGTACCAGAATGCCTGTTTGAGACTTCATTTCATGTTATGTGTGCTTGAGCTTATATACTACAGTTTATATTTGCCTTTTTGGTGAGAAAAATAAATATGACATTGTTTTAATTATGTAATTGGCAATGTAATGTTGTGAGTGGTTTGTCGAATATGGCAATATATTAGATACCACTAGTATAATTATTTTTGGATTGTGGCTTTGAGATATTTTTATTTTATTTTATTTTATTTTTTTGAGTAAGGTGGCTTTGAGATATAATACATTTATATGGTCTATAATTGTTGTTGCTCATGATAACAGCAAGTGATAAAAGGCACAAAAGTTGGTATTTGACTTGTAAGTTCGAGATGTTCTATTGTTTTGTGGTAACAGATGGCTTTGAAATTCTCTCTTCTTTTTTTTTTTTTTGTTTTTTTGGGAGGAATTAGTTAAATTTTTTGGTGTGGCGTTTTTGAAAAAACACTATTAAATGACGTCATTATAATGTCATATGTTAGTTTGTGACTAAAGGTAAAATAGATGGTAAAACAAATGTCAAAGATTTTGTGGCGCTTTAAAAAACGCCATCAAATATTTTTAGCGACGTTTTCAAACATTGTAAAGCTATTGTGGTAGCCATATCAGCGATGAAAATATTAAAAATTGATATAAGTTTTTACGGCGTTTTTTAGGCTTTTAGCGGCGTTGAAATTTAAATTTCCTATAGTTTTTTTTTTGTTTTTGTTACAAGAAAATCCTCCCTACCCTCCCGTAGGTCCAAGGCAGCGCCCCTTACAAAGCTTAAGTCAAGACTCGCACAGCGGGGGAGTATTGAACCCACACCAAGCGCTAATTAGATAATTTGAGATCCAACCTCCTAACTAACTGTGCTTCGCCCAGGAGATTGGCCTAGGAGGGAAGGAATTGAACCTGTGACCTTGGGGCTTAAACCCCAAACCTTAACCATAATACCACCCCCTTGGGTTAATTTCCTATAGTGTTGGTTTGGTGATTTATCGATTTAAGATTCTGCCTTATGGAAAAAGCAAAAGGCATGTAATAGTTGGGATGACTTTGGTGATTATATATATGAACTATCAAATGACGTGTGCTTAAAGGTACTTCCAACTCAAATTTTGATTTTTCGACCTAAATTTAGTTTACTAAATAAACTTTTATCAAATATAGCGGTTTTATAAAATTTAGGTCTTTTGGCCCAAATTTAGTTTTTAACTTCTAAATTAAATTAATTAATTGAATCTTTTAAAATTTCAATTGTATTGAATTGATGTATGAATAACACTACAATATTAAATGAGAGTATAAAGTTCATATTATATAAGTGAAATAACTCATAGTTCCAACAGGAAAGCTTATAATTGTTTAGGTCAAAAGTTTATTTCAAAGTTAAACCAATAAATCAAAAACGGTTCAGTCTAATCGGTTATGTCAAAAGACTAACCAACTTACACAAAAATTATTTAATTTTAATTAAATTTAAATTATCTTAAACTGAAACATACACAACACTATAATATTAAATGGAAGCATAAAGTTCACTTTAGATAAAAGTGAAGCAACTCATTTTTTCCCTTCTTTTCACGATGTGAGATTGTGTAAAATAAAAGTTAACAATTGTTTAAGTGAGAAGTTTATTTCGAATCAAGTAATCTCAGTTGTTCAATCAACATCATTCTAACCAAACAATTAAATCAAATGCCCTAATTTTCTTCTACACATTTTTGAAAGCCATCCTATTTTATTATACAGATACTTATAAATTAAGAAAATTTAATATCTATCCATATCTATTTACTCTATTTGTAACTAATCTTTCTTTATTTGGAAACAATTTTTATCTATTAAATGCAATTATTATTTTTCATTGTTTGTAATCACGAATTGTAAAACTGTCATTTTTTTTCTATTGATGTTATCCAAACACATGCAGTGTGTAGTACATTCACTAACCTGCAACTTTTAGCCACCATTAGTATTTTTTTTTTCCAGTAAAGAAAACTTTATTGATTATAACAATGAAGACAAAGAAACAATGAATAAAGAGGGGAGCAGAGAGCAACAAAGCTCTCAATCTAATACCAATACAATTGGCACCAGAGAGAGTGCCTCAAGCACATCCCTAGGTTGGTAAGGAACCAACCAAAAAAAAAAAAAAAAAGAAGAAGAAAAGAAGACAGACAGAAGAAGAGAATGAAGGAAAGAAATAAAATAGTAGCCTTACAGCAGAGTTAAGAACAGCCTCTGATTTGACTCCACTTGAACACAAAATCATCAACTGAGGAGGGGAAATCCTTTATAGATGCTTTGAGCCAAAGAGTTGTTTTGATTTTGATGAGCTCACACAGATCAGAGAAATTGGGTTGGGCCTCAGTGAAGACACATTCATTCCTATATTTCCAAAGAGATTAATGAACAACTAGGGGGATAGCATTCCAGATTTTCCTTTCAAAGCTCTTGAATTTTCTACCCAGCCATCGTTAGTATTAATGTTATTGTTATCTATAGAATACACAAACATAATGTAAAGTGAAATTTTCAATTGATTTATGAAATCCGTGTTAGGGAAAATCGATGTGATTCCCCACAAGTAAATCAATCAATGGGAATAAAAACTAATGCGGAAAAATTAAATCAAAGGCAACACAAGAATTTTTACGTGGTTCCCTCAATGTGAGGTACGTCCACGGGATCGAAATCCGATTCCACTATCAACCAAATAAGTTCCAAACGATTACAAACGAGACACTAATGGTCTCACAAAACCACCCTTAGGTGAATTCCAAATAATCACAAATAAACAAAGAGGAAAGACCTCACCAAATGGATGAACCAAAATCTTCTGAACCAGAGTTGAAGAAGACCCAAAATTACAAACCAAATCAAAACCGAAAGCCGAAGATGCACCAAAGCACTCCCACCGAATTGATTGATTTCCAATGCACTGTATTAGCTGCAGCACTTCGAAAAAGTGTATTTCACCCACAAACAAAGCCGCCGTCCCTTTTTTTTTCTTGGAAAAACAATCTATCTCACACTTTTCGGCACACCCAAAACAATATATATATATATATATATTGAATCTTGGGTTTTAAAAAACAAGTCCTAATTGTTACCAAATTGAATTAGGTCTCCATAAATATAATATATAAAAATATATTATACCTAAATCAAGTCAAATTGAAACTCTTTTAATAAATCAATTGGGTCCCACACTCCAATAAGGAGGTATACCCAACAATCCGATTAGGGACACACCATCAGTCAAATTTAGGTGCATGTTTGAATTATGTATTGATTTTATTTTATTATTATTATTTTCTTTTTGTTAACATTGGTGTGGCTTGATAGCATTTTACTTTCTTATGAATAGTTAAAAAATTTATCTAATTGGGAGTGCCTTTAGGCATGGGTCATTTGCAAAGATTTTGAGAAAAATAGTTAAAAATCACAATTAAACCAGCGAATTAGTCAAATTGGAACCGATTAAGCCTACCCGATCTGGTTAGAAGACTAACCAACTCACATAGAAATTAATTAATTGAAACTTTTAAAATTTAAATTGTATTGAACTGAAGTATAAACAACATTACAATATTAAATAGGAGCATAGCGTTCACTTTATATAAGTGAAACAACTCACAAAATCATACTCAATCATTCTCTTTTTTTTTTTTTATGTGAGATTGTATAAATTAAGCGTTAATAATTATTTAGGTGAGAAATTTATTTCAAATCAAACAAATCTAACTAATAGATTTTGATAAAAGCACTAAAATCGTGGTTAAATTAGCGAATCAATCAAATCAAAAACGGTTCAGCCTAATTGGCTAGGTCAAAAGAGCAACTAACTTACACAAAAATTAATTAATTAAAATTTAAACTGTTTTGAACTGAAATATGTATAACACTACAATATTAAATGAAAACATAACGGTCACTTTATATAAGTGAAACAATTCATTTTTTCCTTCTTTTTCCAATGTGGGATTGTGTAAAATAAAAGTTAACAATTGTTTGGTACGGTAAGTTTATTTCGAATCAAACAATCTCAGTCATTTAACATTTAATTAGGTCAATTCACACAATTCTAACTAATTGTATCTCTTAAACATTATTGAAAACCGTCGTGTTTTATTATATAGATTAGAAATTTTAAAAATAAATAAATAAAAAAATTGGGATGCCTTCTCTCTCTCTCTCTTTTGCTTGGAGTGTCTCTTTCTCTAGTATATGTGAGATCAAAGGTGTTTCAATAGATATAATGTTGAAAGTTTTTATATTGGAGTTACACTTGCCTTATCGCACATTAATTTTACAACTCATTGAAGATGACTTTATATAACAAACACAGTTATTGATATAATTAATGTTGTTTATCTTTAAAAAAAAAATTAAATACAAGAAAAACACAGTCAAAATTTTCTTATTCAGGGGCAATCCGACCAAATTTCATCATCGTCCCACTACTCATGCAAGTTAATATGACGAATAATCTCCTTGTCTTAACTTAGTTTGAAACATATCATCTCCATCCTAAATTAGGCAATAGAAGTCCCCTACCTAAGTAAATTAGGATTTTGTTAATAAGTGCTCCACAAAAAATAAAAATAAAAATTAGCAGTTTTCATCCATTTCAAAATACTTATAAAAAGTGTTATGAAAAAAAAATGTAAAATAAATAACAAAGAAAAATGATATACAAGTCTATTTTATGAACCCAGTGATGTGTAAGTAATATGATTGTGTAGCACTTGTGTCCTTTAAAGCTTTTGGTAAGTGTATTTGAACCCTTTATTTTATTTTGAAAATATTTGGTGTTGTTGTATCTTGGTTTTGGAGGAGTACAAATCGATTTAAACTTGTTGGGATTGTTCATTCATGCTTGTTTACGTTGAAAAGTTGTTTGGGAACTTAGAAATCTTGTTTGGGGGTCGACACCAATCTTAGTGGTGTTGGCACTTGCCTTTTGTTATTGGCCTTAAGGGTCGACCCTTGTATGTTGCTGAATCTGGAAGTTGCTTGCTGAAATTTGGTGTCGACACCAGTCTGGGAAACACCTGCTGTGCAGTCAAACTTAGTGTTCCAACTTTTCTTCTTGGGGGTTGACACCT